AGCCTGTAAGCACATCCTGGCCAGGATTGCCAATGGATTGTACAGTAGTCCAGCTACCCTAGAACATTCAGTGCTTTGCTGCTCCCTCTCCCACACACTCTGTTATAGGGCTGCTCATGTTGACACCTCACCGCTTCTGTGCTGTGGGAGTTTTCCCCTCGCTCCTGTAGAGTCACTGTACGTGGCCACAGCGGCACAGAAGGTCTGGAGTGGATGCCAGAATCAGCACCTGGATATCTCATCCAATGCAATTAACAATGGCACATGGAGTCTTTTGCCATTGAATTACTGGTTCTAATTCAAATCAGGTTAGCAGTGCCTGAAAGTTGTTACCGTCTGATATTTGCTCAGCCAAAACCAGTTTCTAAAATTTCACTGGTCATTTAGTCTTACTGAATTCTATGCTAATTCTCTATAAAATCCCCATCTTGATTAACTTCTAAAGGAGCAGCAGTCAATCTAAGGATTAGGGACTAGGTCTGCAACTGTGAAAATGAAGCAATTTCAGTTAGAATGATGATGTTCTGTATTAGCATTTTTTGTCTCATTCATTTATTTAACCCCTGCACTGTAAAACCTACTTGCTAAACCTTGTGCTGCAAGAATTACTTGTGTAGAGTACTTTACAAGACATAGTTTAGACAGGTCCCTGCCACAAAGAGTTTACAATTTAAACTAGTTGGATACACTTTAAACAAAGAATGACCTGTAAGAGTGGGAGTAGATAACACTGTAGAGGATCAACAAGGAGAGGGTGGGAAAAAGAAGTGGTCTTAAGGAGAGATCTAAACAGAGGTAGAGTGTGCTTAGTACACAGGAAACAGAAGTGTAAGCTGTGACAGGAGGCACAAAGTCATGAGTGGAAGGGACCAAATAGCCATTAAGAAGAGAGTAATGAGCAGGCAGATAGTCTAACAGGAAAACAATAAACTGAAGGCTATGTGGTATTAACTATTTGTTGGCCCTTGGCCAAATGGTTAACCAGTATTCAGTAGCCCAGAAATTGATGAGTCAGATATTCCTTTCATGCAATCCTGTTTATTTGCAAAGGATGTACACAAAGTCCTGTTTCTCTGAACACAATAGAAATAAACACCAGCAGGCAGTTTCCCTGTTCAGAAATCCAAATGTGCCTCTCAACCAGCATTTTGTATAGTTCACTCCTGGCTTCCTCTCAGGACCAACCTCACACTGCTTCTCTCACTGCCTCCTGGCTTTCTCCTCCTGACAAAAACACTGCTCCACCAATCAATGTCTCAGCCCCTGAATTTTCAATCAGTCTCCGGTAAACCCCTTTTATTCTCCCTGAGTTAATTCTTGCTCAGACCTTCCTCTCCTTGGATGGTGGTGTCTATTGGTTTAGTGTCTTTCTCCATAAAGGGAGCTTAATTGCTTCTTCCATTTAACCTAAATAAAAGGAGGCTGGCATGCCCATCACTTTGAGGTCTGTGACTGTCTACAGATGAAAAACTCACTTGATGGCAGCCATTAACCATGCCAGCATAACATTATCATCAGCAAAGTGCCAACAGTGCACTCATCCTGAGGCACAGGAGATAATACAGCTCACCCCCAGCATTTACATCCTAAACAGCACTTGAGAGAGACCATAAGTGAGAGAGTTAGAGCAATTCCCTGTCACCTTTGGAAAACCTGACAGAAACATTGATTTTCTCAGTTTCTCCAGTACTTTACATGGCACCAAAATGTTGTGGTTATCTTGTCAAATGATCACCAAGTCTTCCTGAATCAGAGAGTCAATCTCTAAAGGCGAGGTGTTTGGGTACAATTTGGATAAGGCATTTAGTTACTACTGTGTTGGGGGTGATATAGGAAGCTACACAAATGGATAAGCATACAATTTGTATAACTAATCTGAGCAGTTATGTGTCTCATTTTATAACAAGGCAGGTCTGATAACATTCTCCTGTTTGTCCGGTAAGTAGAATTTTCAGGGATATGTAGTCTACAAATAAAGAAATAGGAAAATGCCAAGAAAAATAAAATGATCTAAATGTACTTCCTCTACTGTAGGTCTCCAGCTGTCCATGAAGGGAACAGACTTCTGAAATAGAAAAGACAGATGGTGCAAAATCATACTGTTGGCAAAAATCTTCGATTCTTAGCAATTGTGACAGCACATGAAACCAGAAACTAAGTTGGAGGATTAATTGGAGAACTCAGGTACATTGTACTTGTCATAATCAACTCAACAGAAAGTTCTGTAAATGTTTGCTTTAGTTTAGGAAAAAGCATCAACCTTCCAGGTAAACTTCCCCCTCCTATTCTCCTTTCATTTTCTTTCTTACTATATTTTTAAGGTCTGGGTCTACTGGTAGCATATCAGATGTTCTACTGAGTATTAAAAAAATGGGCATAAGTTACAAAAGTCTTGCATGAATGACTCCCTTTGGAAAAGATATAGGAATACACGTTTACACATATTTAAAAGTATTTCTTTTGAAGACATTCCACTAGTACTTTGGTTAATGAATGCAAAATATACCCAATGGAGAAACACAGATTGGATTATTCCCCCCGGCTATTGGTACACTGGCCTTTTTATAATCTCAAAAAACCCAATGTGTTAAATTTAGCCTGCTTTTAGCACTTCAGTGGCTGACTTAGAACAATGCTTCCTTAGCTCTCGTCCCCTAACGCCCCTACTCTACTTGCGCTACATTGATGACATCTTCATCATCTGGACCTATGGAAAAGAAGCCCTTGAGGAATTTCACCATGATTTCAATAATTTCCATCCCACCATCAACCTCAGCCTAGATCAATCCACACAAGCGGTCCATTTCCTGGACACTACTGTGCTAATAAGCAATGGTTATTTAAGTGCCAC